AAACCAAATCCTATCTGCTCTATAAAAATCGTAAGATTATTCGGAGTCGTTATCAAGGCATTCAAAGAATTGAATTTGAAAAAGCTTGTCATGTTGTGAAACTAAAGAAATTAACGTCGAATTTCTCAAAACTAAGTACCGAGCAGATAGAACTTTGTGATTCTAGGGTAGTGTTATGTACACTTAAATGATATCTAATACTGTGTACTCTGGCGTAATTCCCATATACGATGGAGACGAGACCATTTGGTCTACTAGGAACCAAATGAAGGGCACTGAGGGAAAAATAAATTTAAGGACAACACAGTGTGTGTATGTGTGTGCGTGTGTGTGTGTGTGTGTGTATGTGTGTGTGTGTGTGTGTGTGTGTGTGTGTGTGTGTTTGTGTGTGTGTGCTCACGCGCGTGTGTGTGTGTTTGTGTGTATGTGTGTAAGTATATATTATGTATGCTTGTGCGAATAAGTTGCACGCCTGGGCTAGGCAAAGTACATTGTTGGTATTGATAATAATGTTGATAAGCGAAGCAAAAGCAGTGACAAAGTTCAACTGTGTAAAGAGTTAGCTCTTAATGCTTGTCATCACCTATGAAAAAAGTTACTAAAAGACCATGAGGTCAGAAACCAAATTTTGATAAGCGATTTATACACAAGCAGTGACAAAGTTCAACAATGTAAAGAGCTGGCACGTATGGTTGTCATCAGCTATGAAAAGAGTTACTATAAAGACCATGAGGTCAGAAACGCTACCCTAGTATTACCGTTTAATGTACAGTGTCTAGAAAATAGGTGATCCACTTGAAGGGCAATGACTTGGTCACCCCCATATCAAGTTCAACAAAACTTGTCCGAACGAAAACAAAACAAAACAAACAAACAAACAAAAATATCAACCGGAGGGGGGGGGGGGGGTGTTAAGTTTGTCGATATGAAGAGAATCAATTCACTTGTTCTAGAAATTACTTAAAAAAATATCACCCAAAATTGGGTAAAACGCAAAACTTAAGTGTTTAGCTACAGGTGTCACAGTACTCACAGTATTGTACCTTACTCTTTTTAATCACGGGACGTAAGCGCCCCGTATGCCATGTGCTTTTGGTTAATGTTACTCACTTCGGGGATCAACATACAAAGTCAGACACTACACCCAGGCTCATTATTAGAATGCTTGCTGTCGTGTGTGTTCGTCTCTCCAGTTTACAGTCGTGTGTGTATAGATCTACTAACCTTACAACAGGGGCGTGATTGGTTCGTTCTGGTTTCAGGATGAGAACGGTTTAACCACGACAGTCACATCAGAAGGATACTATCTCACCGTGATGAGAAAGTTCAGTAAATGTTTTTGGAGGAGGCCGTGTTAAAATGGTATGGGCATGTCACAAGATTCACATGACTTGCCAAAACAATCCTTTCAAGGAACCGTACAAGGAAAGAAAAAGAGAGGAAGGCAGAGAAGGAGATGAGAGGACAACATCACAGAGTGGACAGGGAAGACGATGGGTGACAATCTGAGGAAAGCAGAAGACAAAGAGAAACGACGAGAGCTGGCTGTCAGATGCAGTGGTGCCCCCACGGTTGCCCCAACCACGGGATAGAAGAAGAAGTGTTAGGCCTAAGTTGTTGAGGAGGCCTGGTTCCAGTGGGATGGGCGTCTCGTCCTATACATCAAGTGCGACTCTTGTTTGGTTACCAAAAAAAAAAAAGAAAAAGGTTTGGGGAACACCTTATACGTCAGAAGCTTACACATGCATGGTCACCGCATTCCCTTGACTTGGACCCGTTCAATGATTTACTTTGGCTTTTTTTTTGACAGACAGTCTACGGAAACAACCCCCACAAATTTAAAAAATCGGACAGTTTAATACTAATAGGAGATTCAAAGAATCGACCCACAAACATGCCACAGGATCATTTAATATTTCCAGCGGCGTATTGGAGCTTGTATGGAGAGAAATGATCAACACCTGGAATGTGCAATTTAAATAGCCACTACCATCCCTGACTTAATTTTTAAAATATATCAGTTTTGTATAAATTATTTGTTATACAGTGCACAGACAGTAACTATCTGAAGAAGAACCCAATTTAAGTGATTTTGTTTTAAATGGCAAAGTTTTGCGTTTTACTCTATTTCAGTTGAACCTATTGAAAATTGGATATAGATTCTAGTTCGAACAAGTGAGCTGATTTTCTTCGTTATAATGT